GAAACTGTAAGGGGAACTTAAAAGGGACAAATGTAACCACCTAAACTGAAACTTGGGTGGGATACCTGGGGTTAGCATGAGGGTGGCTGAGACAAGTAGTCGACCATGGGAGTTGTCATTCTGCTGGGTCAAGTGTGTCTATCAACTTGTTTCCTGCATTGGGTAGCAATAAATAATCAGATGGCCTGGCTGGACTGCTTTGAGTGCTGACTGTTAACGCTATCTTATCCTCCGGTTCCTGCCTCAGAGCTCTCCTTTGCCATGTTGCCTACAAAAACTTTAAATTGGTGAGGCCCGTGGTGTGCTGTGGCCACTGCCCATCATGCTGGCCAGTATTGCCTCACGGTTGCCTTATTCTCCCTGTCTGTTTCCATCTGCTGTCTCTTGCTTTACACTTAGATTGTAAGCTTCTTCGGGCGGGGACTGTCTTTTGCTTCTGTGTTTGTACATCGCCTTGCCCGGTGGAGTCCTGATCCAGGTCTCGGGCTCTGAGGTGCTACGGTCATCCAAACAGTGATGTTACCCCTTTTTACCCAAGTTTTAGCCAAAAAATTTGGTTCCAGAGTAGCAGCCGTGTTAAGCTGTATCCGCAAAAAGAAAAGGAGGACTTGTGGCACCTTAGAGACTAACACATTTATCTGAGCATAAGCTTTCGTGAGCTACAGCTCACTTCATCAGATGCATGCAGTGGAAAATACAGTGGGGAGATTTTATATACACAGAGAATATGAAACAATGGATACAGACTGTAACAAGAGTGATCAGGTAAGGTGAGCTATTACCAAAGATTGGGACACATCCACTCCCAGTCCACCCCTGGTCTTTGGACTGGGAGTGGATGTGTCATTACACAAAGTAAAACTATTTCCCTATGTTTATTCCCCCGCATCCTCCCCCGCCCCGCAACTGTTTCTCACAGGTTCTTGTCAACTGCTGGAAATGACCCACCTTGATTATCACTACAAAAGGTTTTTTTTTTCTTTCTCTCTCTCCTGCTGGTAATAGCTCACCTTACCTGATCACTCTTGTTACAGTGTGTATGGTAACACCCATTGTTTCGTGTTCTCTGTGTATATAAAATCTCCCCACTGTATTTTCCACTGCATGCATCCGATGAAGTGAGCTGTAGCTCACGAAAGCTTATGCTTTAATAAATTGGTTAGTCTCTAAGGTGCCACAAGTCCTCCTGTTCTTTTTCCAAAAAATTTGGAGCCTGATAGGCTATAGGTTGCTATAAAGTATACTATAAAGTACCCTGCACTTTGGAGGGGCTGGAGATCCAGGTACCTGCAGCAGCTTGCTAGGTTCTTTTCCTTCCTCTCAAGCTGCCTGTGGGGAAGGGGTTTCTCCAGCCAAGGGGATGCTCTGTGTCCTGTCTGCTGGTTGGAAGGTGAATCTCATTTGCAATAACCCTGTTTGGTTCATACACAGGCAGCTTGTAGGATTCCTGCTCTTTAGAGTTTGATCCTGACTTTGCTCTGTGCACAGTGCTCTTTAGGTCTGCATCCCACCTGTCTCTCGCTCTGTGTACAAGCACTCAGCGGTAGTAGGGTGACCAGATGTCCCAAGTTTATAGGGAGAGTCCTGTTTGTTGGGATTTTTTCTTATATAGGCACCTATTACCACCTACCCTCTGTCCCATTTTTTTCACAGTTACTATCTGATCACCCTACTCAGTGGGGGTGCATCAGTTATGTGTACCGCAGCGTTGTTCTGTGCTTACGCACCCCAAAGTCTGCACTCTCTGCTCTCAGTCCTGCTGCATGCTGCACCCCACAGCTGCTTTCTATGTTCCCCTCGCTCTCCTTCTTCTCTACCTTTGCCACATGCCCAAGCCTTACCCCTGTCACTTCAAGCTTTTAACTTTGCTAAAGTTTAAAAGCAGCACACTCCCTTAAGTTTGGCATAGAAACATATTTTTGTAGGTCCTACTAAAATAGCAGCTGTTGCTTTTGTGGTTTGTGTGATGAGTGATATATTATTGAGTGGGCAGGGACAACTCCAGTCCTTTGCAATCTGGAGGGCTTTTGCCGTCCCATCATTCTGATCTGAAATTAGATCGCAATCTGGCCCCGGAAACTTGTGTTGTTTAATTAAAAGTGACGTGCGGGAGTCGCCTTCCTCCAGGCAGATTTCAGAGCCACTGCCAACCCCAGCTTGCATTTCTGATAGCTGATCTGCTCTTAATCACTCCAGCATTCCCAAGAATGAATCCCTAATTTAAAGCAGATGAGAGATAATGTGAGAATTTCCAGATTATAGAAAGCAGAGGTTTGGGCTGATGTATAGAAAGCAGACGAGCTCTGCGTCCCACATCCGCTCTCCTGCAGCACACCGTCTCTTACAAGGGATGGTGGGGAAAGGACTTCTGCAGGCACCCTTTGCTGCCCGGGGTCCCCAGAGCATTGCAGGCCCTGTCGTTTTAATGTTAAATCTTCCCCTCATCTATTTCTCCTCCCCCTCGCCCCCCAACTGAGAGACACGTCCTGAGGAGAGGGAAACAAGCACCAGCTCCCCGGAGACAGCTGCGCTGCATGAAGTTGCCATGTTATTTTGAGGGTTCTTTGGACTTTCCCCAGTGCAGGTGAAGAGGTGATTTTAGTCTGTGACCCTGTGCCGGGGGTGTGTGGGAAGCAACTGCCCAAACCGGTCGGCTGGGTGGGTGAGGAGTGCGGGATCCCGTATGCCGATCCCGCTGGGGTTTAATGTCTAACCCTGTCTGCGATGCTTGCTCCCCTGCCTGCTACTGTGTGGCTAAGGACTTCCCTTGGCCCCTGGGGAAGACCGAATGGCTGAGATTCCTCAGGTGCAAGGAGGTAAAAAAGCCTATTGGCTCTACAGGCATGTGATGCAAAACACTGCGTGTGCTGGGGGTATAAAATCTCAGCTCCCATCCTGTCTAAACTCTTCCAAATGTTCCATTCCCAGCACACCCCTGCTGCAGTGGATTTGGGAGACTGGTCGCCAATTAGGTCTGCCCCCATCTGGGTGGTACATCTTGCTCAGGGGTGGGGAGAGGGAGACTGGGAGTGGGATGAGGGGGACTCTGAAGGAAAGCACTTTGAGTCACATTGTGAGATGTGCTCTCTGTAGCCCTCTCCTTGTGGTGAGAAGTTTGTGTTTTTCCAGACTAGATGGGGGGGGGGATCCTCTCCTTAATATAAGGCTCTGACTGCGGCATTAACAGTCTGGGCTGGGGTGAGTGGTTGTGAAGTAGCTACTGCTTCAGAAGGTCATTTCGTGCCCCAGGGTATCCCAGGCTGCACTGAAAGGTGGTAATCTCTGGCTAAATTACCTTTCCCAGGAAAATCTGTTAACTCTCTTGATTTGGGTAGCTCCAGATTTAAACCCCAGCACATGACTCCATGGGATGAGCCCCAAAGGGTGCTATTGAAATACTCCTTTCCTTGACTGTGGGGGATGACCACACTGTAGTTATGGGGGTGGGGAAGGGCCCCATTGTTACACTTTGCCCTGGTCCCCACTAGGAGTTTAGGTCGAATTTAGCAGCATTAAATCGATGTAAACCTGCACCCGTCCACACGATGAAGCCCTTTTTTTCGACTTAAAGGGCTCTTAAAATCGATTTCCTTAATCCACCTCTGACAAGTGGATTAGCGCTTAAATCGGCCTTGCCGGGTCGAATTTGGGGTACTGTGGATGCAATTAGGCGGTATTGGCCTCCGGGAGCTATCCCAGAGTGCTCTATTGTGACCGCTGTGGACAGCACTCTCAACTCAGATGTACTGGCCAGGTAGACAGGAAAAGGCCCACGAACTTTTGAATTTCAGTTTCCTGTTTGCATGGTCACCTGCAGCTTGCCACGCTGGCCAGAGCTCATCAACAGAGGTGACCATGATGGAGTCCCAGAATCTCAAAATCCAGCATGGACCGAACGGGAGGTACGGGATCTGATAACTGTATGGGGAGAGGAATCCGTGCTATCAGAACTCCGTTCCAGTTTTCGAAATGCCAAAACATTGTCAAAATCTCCCAGGGCATGAAGGACAGAGGCCATAACAGGGACCCGAAGCAATGCCGCATGAAGCTTAAGGAGCTGAGGCAAGCCTACCAGAAAACCAGAAAGGCAAACGGCCGCTCCGGGTCAAAGCCCCAAACATGCCGCTTCTATGATGAGCTGCATGCCATTTTAGGGGGTTCAGCCACCACTACCCCAGCCGTGTTGTTTGACTCCTTCAATGGAGATGGAGGCAGCACAGAGGCAGGTTTGGGGGACGAGGAAGATGATGATGATGAAGTTGTAGATAGCTCACAGCAAGCAAGCGGAGAAACCGGTTTTCCTGACAGCCAGGAACTGCTTCTCACCCTGGACCTGGAGGCAGTCCCCCCCCCCCCCCCCCCCCCCCCCGGACCCACCCGAGGCTGCCTCCCGGACCCATCAGGCGGAGAAGAGATCTCCGGTGAGTGTACCTTTTAAAATACCATACATGGTTTAAAAGCAAGCATGTTTAATGATTAATTTGCCCTGGCATTTGCAGTTCTCCTGGATGTATTCCCAAAGCCTTTGCAAAAGGTTTCTGGGGAGGGCAGCCTTATTGCGTCCTCTATGGTAGGACACTTTACCACACCAAGCCAGTAGCACGTACTCAGGAATCATTGTAGAACAAAGCATTGCAGTGTATGTTTGCTGGCGTTCAAACAACATCCCTTCTTTATCTCTCTGTGTTATTCTCAGGAGAGTGAGATATCATTCATGGTCACCTGGTTGAAATAGGGTGCTTTTCTTAAGAGGACATGCAAAGGTACCCGTTCCTGCTGGGCTGTTTGCCTGTGGCTGAACAGAAATGTTCCCCGCTGTTAGGCGGGGGGTGAGGGGCTAGCCACGTGGTGGGGGGAGGCAAAATGTGACCTTGGAACGAAAGCACATGTGCTGTGTCTGTAATGTTAACAGCAAGGTTTACCGTGAAAGAGTGTAGCCATTGTTCTAGAAAATGTGTTTTTTTAAATTCCACTGCCTCTTTTTTTTTTTTCCCCACCAGCTGCATGTGTTTCAATGATCACAGGATCTTCTCCTTCCCAGAGGCTAGTGAAGATTAGAAGGCGAAAAAAATGCACTCGCGATGAAATGTTCTCCGAGCTCATGCCGTCCTCCCACACTGACAGAGCACAGACGAATGCGTGGAGGCAGACAATGTCAGAGTGCAGGAAAGCACAAAATGACCGGGAGGAGAGGTGGCGGGCTGAAGAGAGTAAGTGGCGGGCTGAAGACAAGGCTGAAGCTGAAAGGTGGTGGCAGGGTGATGAGAGGAGGCAGGATTCAATGCTGAGGCTGCTGGAGGATCAAACCAGTGTGCTCCAGTGTATGGCTGACCCGCAGGAAAGGCAGCAGGAGCACAGACCGCCACTACAGCCCCTGTGTAACCAACCGCCCTCCTCCCCAAGTTCCATAGCCTCCACACCCAGACGCCCAAGAACGCGGTGGGGGGGGCCTCTGGCCCCCCAGCCACTCCACCCCAGAGGATTGCCCAAGCAACAGAAGGCTGGCATTCAATAAGTTTTAAAGTTTTAAACTTTTAAAGTGCTGTGTGGCCTTGTCCTTCCCTCCTCCACCATCCCTCCTGGTGCTTCTCTCCTCCACCACCCCTCCTGGGCTACCTTGGTAGTTATCCCCCTATTTGTGTGATGAATGAATAAAGAATGCATGAATGTGAAGCAACAATGACTTTATTGCCTCTGCAAGCGGTGATCGAAGGGAGGAGGGGAGGTTGCTTAGCTTACAGGGAAGTAGAGTGAACCCAGGAGCGGTGGGTTTCATCAAGGAGAAACAACCAGAACTTTCACACTGTAGCCTGTCCAGTCATGAAACTGGTTTTCAAAGCTTCTCTGATGCGCACCGCACCCTCCTGTGCTCTTCTAACCGCCCTGGTGTCTGGCTGTGCGAAACCAGCAGCCAGGCGATTTGCCTCAACCTCCCACCCCGCCATAAATGTCTCCCGCTAACTCTCGCAGATATTGTGGAGCACACAGCAAGCAGTAATAACAGTGGGAATATTGGTTTCGCTGAGGTCTAAGCTAGTCAGTAAATTGCGCCAGTGCGCTTTTAAACGTCCAAATGCACATTCTACCACCATTCTGCACTTGCTCAGCCTGTAGTTGAACAGATCCTGACTACTGTCCAGGCTGCCTGTGTACGGCTTCATGAGCCATGGCATTAAGGGTTAGACCGGGTCCTCAAGGATAACTATAGGCATTTCAACGTCCCCAACGGTTATTTTCTGGTCTGGGAATAAAGTCCCTTCTTGCAGCTTTTGAAACAGACCAGAGTTCCTGAAGATGCGAGCGTCATGTACCTTTCCTGGCCATCCCACGTTGATGTTGGTGAAACGTCCCTTGTGATCCACCAGAGCTTGCAGCACTATCGAAAAGTACCCCTCGCGGTTTATGTACTCGCCGGCTTGGTGCTCCGGTGCCAAGATAGGGATATGGGTTCCGTCTACGGCCCCACCACAGTTAGGGAATCCCATTGCAGCAAAGCCATCCACTATGACCTGCACATTTCCCAGGGTCACTACCCTTGATATCAGCAGATCTTTGATTGCGTTGGCTACTTGGATCACAGCAGCCCCCACAGTAGATTTGCCCACTCCAAATTGATTCCCGACTGACCGGTAGCTGTCTGGCGTTGCAAGCTTCCACAGGGCTATCGCCACTCGCTTCTCAACTGTGAGGGCTGCTCTCATCTCGGTATTCTTGCGCCTCAGGGCAGGGGAAAGCAAGTCACAAAGTTCCATGAAAGTGCCCTTACGCATGCGAAAGTTTTGCAGCCACTGGGAATCGTCCCAGACCTGCAACACTATGCGGTCCCACCAGTCTGTGCTTGTTTCCCGAGCCCAGAATCGGCGTTCCACAGCATGAACCTGCCCCATTAGCACCATGATGCCCACATTGCCAGGGCCCGTGCTTTGAGATAAGTCTGTGTCCATGTCCTCATCGCTCACGTTACCGCGCTGACGTCGCCTACTCGCCCGGTATCGCTTTGCCAGGTTCCGGTGCTGCATATACTGCTGGATAATGCGCGTGGTGTTTAATGTGCTCCTAATTGCCAAAGTGAGCTGAGCGGCCTCCATGCTTGCCTTGGTATGGTGTCCGCACAGAAAAAAGGCGCGGAACGATTGTCTGCTGTTGCCCTGACGGAGGGAGGGGCGACTGACGACATGGCTTACAGGGTTGGCTTACAGGGAATTAAAATCAACAAAGGGGGTGGCTTTGCGAGAAACTGAATGGCCCCCTCAAGGATAGAACTCAAAACCTCAAGGATAGAACTCAAAACTGGGTTTGGCAGGCCGTTGATTTCACAGAGGGAAGGAAGAGAAAATGAATACAAAACAAATCTGGTCTATTTCTTGTTTTGAGCCACTTCATCTATCTTTATACATCTTGTTGGCAGCAGACTGTGCAGTACGACCGCTAGCTGTCATCATCTCCTGGGTGCTCGGCAGAAGACGGTGCAGTATGACAACTAAGGTGAAACTTAAAAGGGAAATGACCAGGCTGAGTCACTCCCATGTTTGCCCAGGTGCCCGATTAAAAGAGCACCCAGGACTACGTTGATGACTGCTACCAGTCATACTGCACCGTCTGCTGCCACAAGGCAATTAACTGCTGCTGTGTAGCAATGCAGTACCGCGTCTGCCAGCATCCAGGAGACATACGGTGACAGTTTGCTGAGTGGGCTCCATGCTTGCTGTGGTATGGTGTCTGCACGGGTAACTCAAGAAAAAAGGCACGAAACGATTGTCTGCCCTTGCTTTCACGGAGGGAAGGAGGGAGGGAACGGGGGCCTGACGATATGTACCCAGAACCACCCGCAACAATGTTTTAGCCCCATCAGGCACTGGGATTTCTACCCAGAATTCAGATGGGCAGTGGAGACTGCGGGAACTGTGGGATAGCCACCCACAGTGCAACGCTCCAGAAGTCGACGGTTGCCTCGGTACTGTGGATGCACTCCGCCGACTACATGCACTTAGAGCACTTGTGTGGGGACACACACAATCAACTGTATAAAACCGCTTTCTACAAAACCGACTTCTATAAAGTCGACCTAATTTCGTAATGTAGACATACCCTTAGTCTCTGATCCCTTTCCATCTGCTCTTCCTTAACCCACTGAAGCTCTTCAGGAGCTGACACTGCTATGGGAGTGTAAACTGGATTCTACTCTGCCTAATGCTTCCCATTATTTCTTATCCAAATCCGTTCTGTGACCAGTAGAGCTGTCAGCTCAAGTTCTGAGAGCAGAATGCTTAATAATTGTGACCAGAGCTGGATGAATAACTAATTTATAGCTTCAGTGGCCATTCTGAAGAATCAGCAAAACAGTTCAATTCAACCTGAACCCAATCCCAACATTCTGAAGTTTTCTAGTGAATTGAAAATGTTTTCTTTGAGCCCAAACTCATATATTGTTTGATCAGAAATCCTGTGTTTCCGGGCACGTTTAAAAAGCTAGATTCACAGAAGGGCCAGTGGTGGCTCAGGACTTTTAGCCAAGTGGTTAGAGCACTCACCTGGGATGTGGGAGACCCTGATTCAATTCCCCTCTCCGCCTGAGGAAGAGCAGCGATTTCAGCTGAGGTCTCCCACATCGCCCTGACTCCTGTTAAAAGGGGGTGAACCTGGCCCCGGATGGGGAAAGGGATACGTCATACGCACCACAGGAATAGAGCACTACCCTGGGGATGAGTGTTAGTATCTCAGTGCATGACCTTCTGCCGGGATGAAACCGGCGTGGTTTTGGACGGTAAGGAACAGCACCAAGCTGATTGTTCCCTCTGCGTGTGCGAGAGACTTAAAATGTGAGTTTAAAGCTCATTACCCGTCTGGTTGTTCTGCAGGCTGAGGTGGGGCTTTGATTTTTAATGCTAATAAAAGCAAACACTTTTTTTTTTTTAATCAGCTGGGAAAGAGTATTTTAAATGAGAGTGGTGCAAACAGAGGATGAAAAGATACAGCACACTGTCACGTCGTGGCCATAGCATTGCATTTCCCAGAACTCTGTTTCCCTCTGTACCTAGGGCTCCACCCCGGAGGATGGCCAGAGTCCCACGAGAGGCACTCCGCACCTTGCAGGGTCAAGCCCAGCATGGTGCCGGCACTGAAGGAGATGGGAGTCTTTAGAGTGGGCCTGATCCATAACTCATTGACATCAATGGAAAAGCTCCCATTGATTGGCTGACTCTTGGCCTTCGACATGCCCTTTAAAATGGGGACTGTGGAATGGACTGCTGCTGGCTAAACCCCAAGTGGCTAAGAGGAGGCAGCTAATAACTGCAGGAGCCTAAAAGTTAAATGCCGTACATGGGCCCCTTGTGAGATCACTACAGAATGGGAGGGTGTCGTGGAAGGATCCATGGGAGATAGGAATCCTAGTGCTGTGGGCTGCCCAGAATCACCTGGGTGTTAGAGAAGGTGCAAGAGGTGGTAGCTGACATGTCTATATGCTCCCTTCCTGTGTGAGGGCATGAATTAGAAGCTGGACCCTGTGCTTGCGCTCCCATTGCTGACTAGTGCCTGCTTCGTCTGGTGGCCCTTCCCCTCCCCATTGCAGGAGACCACAGCACAGAGCCAGGGTGATGCTGGCAGTAAAATATATTTGCTTTTTGCATACCTGCCCCTAACAGCTCTCTTCAGGGTGTCGCTTAGTCAACAAACTCAGCATTCCTCTGACAACTTTGCTTCCTGGCTTGGTGGGAACTTACAGGAAGGAAACGGTGGGACTGAAAAGTCCCTTAGGTATGTTGTGTCCTTATGCTGACCTTGTGATGCACAGGCTCTGCCCTTTCTGTGTAGCCATAACTAGACATTTAAATGCTTCCTTATTTTACTGTGAAAATCAGCCATGGTAAACGTCTCCGCAGACAGGCTGGCACGTCGTAGGTACCACTGCGCCACATGCCCTGCCCACTCAGCACTGCAGGGGCTCAGATCCCCTTTCCCTCTCCACAAAGCAGAGGACTGTCTCACTGAGGAGACTCTCCATGAGCTCCTAACAGTATGGGGTCTACAAATAGAACTGGTCAAACAAAGAAGTTTGATGAGGATTTGGCAAACAGGTCTTTTTGTTTTTGTTTTTATTTTCAAGCTAGACTGATTTTTCCCCTCCTTCCCAAGTTTTAATTTTTTCCTTTTGAAATCACTAATTTGCTGTATTTTTGCGAGTTTCAGGGGGCAGAGTTAAGGTTGGATG